GCTCCAAGAAGGTAGCATATTTAAGCAACTTAGCAGGCAATGCATGGGATGCCAAACATGTGGATTTCACACACGTACATTTTACTTAAAACCAAAACCAAAAAGAAACTAAACAAATATTAATGATGTGCATGTTCAAGTTACTGAGGTGAGGTACAGAGGCTCACAACTTAGTCTGAAATAAAATCCATCAAAAAATAAGATGGACTGAAGGATGAATGCAGTAATGTGTGTATGTGATACAAGTAAAATGTTACTTGTAAAAGTAGATTTTTAAATGTTTAATCGTAGAATCTTAGTATTCTATATATAGATGATCACTGAAATTTCTGCAGCTATTCTGTGCTATCTGAAAATTTTTACAATAAAATGATGGAAAAAAAGTCATGAGCTATTTCTAATTAGAGCAATGATTTTAATATACATTATCTTACTGTATATTCTTATGACTGTGAGACTATGTTCTAATGCTCACCAGAAAACTTTTGGTCTTTTGTTTAGGCATGAATGTTACAACATTTTCTAGCCAGCCTTTAAGACAAATGCATTTCAAGAAAGGAAACATGTCTCCGTATCAATTTAAGACTTAGTGTGCGGCCAAGAGTGGTGGTGCTCACCTGTAATCCCAACGCTTTAAGAGGCCAAGATGGGAGCGCTGCTTGAGCCCAAGAGTTCTGAGATTGGCCGGGCAACATAGTGAGACCTCTCATCTCTACAAAATAAAAATTAGCCAGGCGTGGTGGGGTGTACCTGTAGTCTCAGCGACTTAGGAGGCCAAGGCAGAAGGATCGCTCATTGAGATCAGCAATTCTGGGTTACAATGAGCTATGATGTACGATCACACTCCAGCCTGGGTGATTGAGCAAGACCCTGGTCTCTAAAAACTAATGATAATTTTTAAAATTTAAAAAACTAAAAGAGTTTTTTTAAAAGTTTTAATTAAAAATAAAAACTTAGGGCCAGGCACGGTGGCTCATGCCTGTAATTCCAGCCCTTTGGGAGGCCAAGGCAGGCAGATCACATCAGGAGATTGAGACCATCCTGGCTAACATGGTGAAACCCTGTCTCTACTAAAAATACAAAAAATGAGCTGGGCGTGGTAGCATGCACCTATAGTCCCAGCTACTTGGGAGGGTAAGGCAGGAGAATCACTGGAGCCCAGGAGCCAGAGGTTGTAGTGAGCCAAAATTATTTCATTGCACTCCAGCCTGGGTGACAGAGCGAGACTCTGTCTCAAAAAAAAAAATAAAATAAAGACTCAATGTGTGCCTGTCACCTTTCTTAAGTTTTTTCCTTTTTCATGCAGCACTAACTCCACCATATCTTCCATAGTAACTCCACAGGCACATCACAAACTTTAAATAAACAATACACACAATTACCAAATCATCCCCCAAAATATACACTGAGTCCCTGAAATACCAAGTTCATTCAGTGCTAGATCTTTCAAAAACAATAGCTTTCCAGATTCTCCCTTCCCAAGAAGCCCATCTGTACCAACGCAACCCAGGCACACAGAGAACCGAAGTTCTCTCCTTCCGCTTTTACCAAACCTGCAAGTGACCCTGGCTAGGCCCTCAAGGAACAGGACATGTACAGGGTCACTGTTTTTAGAATGTCAACTGTTTGGGAACTAGAAACTTTTTATTAAAATGGGTCATTTTTTTTTTCCCAAAAGTACTATGTACCAGATTTTTTATAACAATTTTTTAAGTAAAAAAGACATTTATTTAGAAAATTTTTTAAATTCAGAAGCCGAAAGTACATGTGAAAAGAGACAATCTGCACCAAAACAGAGCGTGATGAAATTTCTGAAAACTGGAAGCAAAAATCCTACAGAGGAGCAAAGAAAAAACATTGGCTCCACTCAATCAGGCACCAACAAGGTATTCCAATTCTCAGCAGCAGTAGTGGAAGCTGGAAAGCCATTGAGGTTTCCAGTACTTTTTTGAATACTTTTTCAAAAACAGTACTTTGGAAAAAAAAAAAAAAGAAAGACATATTTTAGTAAATGAACATTTGGCATTCTAAAAACAGTGACCCTGTGCATGTCCTCTTCTTTGAAGGAAAAGTAGCCTGAAAATTCTTGGGGGAACTAATTGCTATTCTAGAATTCTGTATCAGACAAACCATCATTGAAGTGTGTGTGCAGAATACAATGTTTTCAGACATGGAAAATCTCAAAACTGTGAGTTTCTCATATTCTCCCCAGGCGGTTACTGAAGAAAATCCCCCACCAAAACCAGAGTAAACTAGGAAAAAAAGAGAAAAAAACTCAGGCAGAAGGGAAAGGCAAAAACAAGCCCTGGAATGATGAGAAAGAGTGACAACCCCCCCACTGCCCTGCCCCGCCCCGACAGGGTATGGCTCAGAGGGCAACCAGTCCAGATAAGAGAAAGGAAGGTGGGGCTTCCTTCAGAGGTCACCAGGAAAACATAACACACAAGTATAAAAATTGCTAAGAAGAGATCTCAATACCTGGGTAGTAGCTAGATGTTTAATTAATGCTGTGGTCACAGAAACCTGTGACCAGAGGTTTCAAAGACACCAGATAAATACAGTATTAACTCCAGGGAAACCAGAGTAGTTGCAGAAGAAATTGCAACAGGGCACAGGACAATAGGATTGCCACATACAGGACATAGCTGTGAACAATACTGCTATAACCACAGTAATAGAAATGTGAAGGAAGGTTGGGGCAGCAAAGTGAAGGGTCAGTAAAGCAGTGCCATTTTACACAAACAAAAAAGAAGCAGGAACAGCAGAAACGTGTCTTGTGGAAGCAGGGAAGGCACAAGCAAATGCAGCTTAAAAGAGTTAAAGAGCTCGAGTTTGCCCATAGGGAGTGAAATGTGGGGGCTCCCACAAGGTAGCAGGGAACTGCTATTGTTCATTTTAAAAGGTCTTGTAGACGGGGTGCAGTGGCTCACACCAGTAATCCTAGAAGTTTGGGAAGCCGAGGTGGGCAGATCGCCTGAGGTCAGGAGTTCGAGACCAGCCGGACCAACATGGTGAAACCCCCGTCTCTAATAAAAAAAAAAAAATACAAAATTAGCCAGGTGTCATGGCACATGCCTACAATCCCAGCTACTTGGGAGGCTGAGGCAGGAGAATCACTTGAACCTGGGAGGTGGAGGCTGAGGTGAGCCGAGATCGTGCCATTGCACTCCAGCAGCCTGGGCAATAAAACTCCATCTCAAAAACATGAAACAAAAAATGAAATAAATAAAATATAATATAAAAAGCCTTGTGGACACTGCAATCTTTTACCTATGTGAATGTAAACCTTTAAGAAGGAAAAACAGGCTCCCAAGACCTCACAGCCTATTAATATGCCAAAGCTATTCTCTCCTGCTTGGCTGCTATGCATGAAGTTTAATTTTTAAACAAACCAGGGGTTTCAGTTCATAGATATAATTCTGAGTTCAAAAAGAAAGGCTGGGCGTGGCAGCTCATGTCTGTAATCCTAGCAGTTTGGGAGGCTGAGGTGGGCAAATCACCTGAGGTCAGGAGTTCAAGACCAGCCTGACCAACATGGAAAAATCCCATCTTTATTAAAAATACAAAAATTAGCCAGGTGTGGTGGCACAAATCTGTAATCCCAGCTTCTCAAGAGGCTGAGGCAGGAGAACCACTTTAACCCAGGAGGCAGAGGTTGCAGTGAGCTGAGATCGCACTACTGCACTCCAGCCTGTGCAACAGAGCGACACTCCAGCTCAAAACCAAAAAAAAAGGTAGAAAAGAAAGGTACACTGCAAGCCATTTTCACTTATCATTAAATAGTCTTCCTAAACAATACTAAAACCAGATAAACACTGTGCGATAAACAGCTTAATTAAACCATCACTTTGTAAATAAATGCACGTGTACGAGTACACAAACGTTTGCACATCCAATTACTGCTCTTAGTATACATTCCTGAAGGGGGTCGAAAGGGTTCATTTTTAAGCTTCTTTCTAATATACACTACCAAACTGTCCTCCAAAGAAGTTTCACCAATTTGCCCTCCATCCAGCCATGCACAAGCAATGACCATGGAACTATTTCATCACTCCTGGCAACATCTATATCTTGTAAAAATAAGTGATAATGTAATAAATATCTAAACCACCTGTGTGTAGAGCTTATTACAAAGAACAGACTGTTTTGACAATTTCAGATCATCATTACAAGTATTAGTTACAGGTACTCATGACTCTAAGTAGGACCAGAACAGAGGCCTCAATGATCTGTGCCTGACTGTGGGCTTGGGGCTGAAATCCTCCCATAATAAATCAAGGAGTGTATTTATTCATTATTCCAAAGCCAAGGGTGAAGTTAAACAACTTTCCCAGGGAATGACACAGACAGGAGTATAAACCATATCCAGCTAACTCCATAATCCAAAGTTCTGATTCCAAAAATGGACAGCCCACTTGTATTATGTATTAGTCCATTCTCACACTGCTAATAAAGAAATACCCAAGACTGGGTAATTTATAAAGGAAAAAGGCTTAATGGACTCACAGTTCCATGTGGCTGGGGAGGTCTCGCAATCATAGTAGAAGGCAAAGAAGGGGAAAGAGCACCTCTTATGTGGCAGCACCTCTTAAGAGAGCATGTGCAGGGGAACTGCCATTTATAAAACCATCAGATCTTGTGAGACTTATTCACTATTACGGGAACAACATAGGGAAAATCTGCCCCCATGATTCAATTACCTCGCACCAGGTCCCTCCCACAGTAAGTGGGGATTATGGGAGCTATAATTCAAGATGAGATTTGGGTGGGGACACAAGCCAAACCATATCATCACTCTTGCTGTGCGCATAACATAGCCTTGTTTAGGAGGACAAAATGAATGACATTGTCTCCATTTCCAGACTCTAAGAAATAGAATTCTTCAGCAAAAGACAATATCTCATCACAAGGTTCTCAGAATCCTCTTATGTCACAATTGGAAGAGGGCTAAGAAAAATGTGGCATTTGGATTACAAAAGTGCTCTGGAAGCCAAACTTCACATATACAGCGTCAAAATCACAGGTCAGCATTGAGTATAAATGGGATGGCAAGAGAACCAAAAGGCAGATCAAGAAAGCAGCAGGGACCAGGTACAGTGGCTCACACCTGTAATCCCAACACTTTGGGAGGTCAAGGTGAGAGGATTGCTTGAGTCCAGGAATTTGAGACCAGCCTGGGGAATACAGTGAGACCCTATCTGTATAAAAATTTTTAAAAAAATTATGTAGGTGTGGTGGCTTGTGCCTATAGTTCCAGCTACTTAGGAAGCTAAGGCAGGAGAACTGCTTGGCAGTGAGCTAAGTTCATGCCACTGCACTACGGCCTAGGCAACAAAGTGAGATCCTAACACACACACAGCAAGTGAGTACACACGAGTGTGTGCAAAAGAGAGTGTGAGAGTGCAAGCAGCAGAAAGGGAGAAAAACTTCTCTTTTAAATTTTTATAGTGATAATTTTGGCTTGCTCATCAGAAAAAGGGAAAGGCTCACTGAAAAGGGAGTTAAAAATTTCAAAACATGAGGCTGGGTGTGGTGGTTTATGCCTGTAATCCCAACACTTTGGGAAGCTGTGGTGGGAAAATCCCTTGAACTCAGGAGAAAAAGGCTGTAACTGCACCACTGGACTTCACCCCGGGTGAAACCATAAGACCCCTGTCTTGCTGGTGCGCCGAGCCTGCCGGGTGATGTGTAGTGACTTCCATAGGGCTGAGTCTGGGACCGAGCTCCTTGCCCGACTTGAAGGTAGAAGTTCTTTGAAAGAAATAGAACCAAGTCTGTTTGCTGATGAAGATTCTCCTGTGCATGGTGATATTCTTGAATTTCATGGCCCAGAAGAACAGGAAAAACAGAAATGCTTTATCATTTAACAGCACGATGTATACTTCCCAAATCAGAAGGAGGCCTGGAAGTAGAAGTCGTATTTATCGATACAGATTATCACTTTGATATGCTCCGGCTCGTGACGATCCTCGAGCACAGACTGTCCCAGAGCTCTGAGGAAGTGCTCAAGGTCTGCCTGGGGAGACTGGTGCTGCTGTACTGCAGCAGCAGCACCCACTTACTGCTCATGCTTCACTCACTGGAGAGCATGTTTTGTAGTCGCCCGTCTCTTTGCCTTTTGATTTTGGATAGCCTGTCAGCTTTTTACTGGATAGATCGCGTCAACGGAGGAGAAAGTGTTAACTTACAGGAGTCTACTCTGAAGAAATGTTCTCAGTTCTTAGAGAAACTTGTAAATGACTATCGCCTGGTTCTTTTTGCAACCACACAAACTTTAATGCAGAAAGCCTCGAACTCGGTGGAAGAACCTTCTCATGCCTCCCAACGCCTGCGTGACGTGGACATAGACTATAGACCCTATCTCTGTAAAGCATGGCAGCAAGTGGTGAAGCACAGGATATTTTTCTCCAAACAAGATGATTCGAAAAGCAGAAACCAATTTTCATTAGTTTCACGCTGTTTAAAAAGTAAGAATGTAAAAAAACACTTTTTTATTATTGGAGAAAGTGGGGTTGAATTTTGTTGATATGTATCATAAAATAGTCTTTTGCAGGGTATTATGCAAGTCTTAAAGTTTTCTTTTTTAAGACAGGGTCTCGCTCTATCTTCCAGGCTGGAGTGCAGTGGAACAATCATGGTTCACTGCAGCCTTGAACTCCTGGCCTCAAGGGATCCTCCTATGTGTGACTCTCAGAGTACAGAAATTACAGGCATGTGCCAGTGCACCCAGCCAAAAGTTTTTTTCTTTTTGAGATGGAGTCTAACTCTGTCACCCAGGCAGGAGTGTTGTGGTGTGATCTCGGCTTACTGCAACTGTTGCCTCCTGGGTTCAGGCAATTCTCCTGCCTTAGCCTCCCAAGTAGCTGGGATTACAGGCACCTGCCACATGCCCAGTTGACTTTTTGTATTTTTAATGGCGACTGTGTTTCAGTATGTTGGCCAGGCTGGTGTCGAACTCCTGACCTGAAGTGATCCACATGCCTTGGCCTCCCAAAGTGCTGGGATTACAGGCGTGAGCCTCCGCGCCGGCCCTAAAGTTTTAAACTCTAGGGGAATTAACAGTATTTCTTTACAGAATGGATTTGTTAAACCAGTACAATAAAACTAAAGACAATTCTGTTTCTAGGCTGTTGAATCAAAGTGCTATTAACAATTAAACTTTGTATTAATAAAATAAAAAAGAAAAAAAGAAAAGAAAAAAAAAGACCCCTGTCTTAAAAACAAACACTCAGGACAAAAAAAGAGAGAGGATTCCAGAAAAAGATGGGCACAGAGCTGTAATCCAGACTCAGGCTAGATGGCCAACTTGTGGGACATCAGCAGAACTTTCTTCTTTTTCTTTTTCTTTTTTTTTTTTGAGACAAAGTATCATTCTGTAACCCAAGCTGGAGTGCAGGGGTCTAGGCTGGAGTGCAGTGATGCGATCTCAGCTCACTACAACCTCTGCCTCCCAGGTTCAAGTGATTCTCCCGCCGCAGCTTTCCAAGTAGCTGGGACCACAGGCGTGCACCAACACACCCAGCTAATTTTTGTATTTTTAGTAGAGACAGGGTCTTACCCTATTGGCCAGGCTGGTCTTGAACTCCTGGCCTCAAGTGATCTGCCCGCCTTGGCATCCCGAAGTGCTGGGATTACAGGCGTGAACCACCATGCCTGGCTGCCTTATATTTTTTCATTCACCAATTTCACAGCTTCTCCTACAAGACCAGAAGATCAGGCAATGGTACGCTAGCAGTCTGGCGGCCAACAACGGCCTGGCACCTATCAGTGGATGCCCCTCAACATGGCAGGTCATTTGGGCAGCTGCAGTTGCTACCTGCCTGTCCCAGCTTCTGGATTACAACAACAGTTTGAGAGCAGTCTTGGAAAAGAGACAAGACAAGCCTTATCTCCCTCTGAGAAAGGAGAGATGTTCGAGAAGATGGGTGACAAAGTGGGCATGGTAGCTCACGGCTCTAATCCCAGCACTTTGAGAGACTGAAGCAGAAAGCAATTGAGCCCGAGAGCTTGGGACCAGCCTAGGCAACAGAGTGAGATTCAGCTTTACAAAAATAGAAAAATTAGCTGGGTGTGGTTGCACCTTTAGTCCTAGCTACTCAGGAGGCTGAGGTGGGAGCACTGCTTGAGTCTGGAAAGTCGAGGCTGCAGTGAGACATGATCATCCTATTGTACTGCAGCCTGGGCAACAGAGCAAGAACCTGTCTCAAAAACTAATGAGATGGCTGGCACATGTTCCACAGGGTGGCCCCCAGAGGCGCCCAACAGGGGAAGTTTTCAGCAGCACTGGGGTTCCAAACACCACCGTGTCTCTGCCAGGCAGTGCTGCACACTTTTGGCAAGAACAGCTCAGTCTGAAATAAACTTGAGGTTTTTCTTGTAAAATAAAAAAGTTGAAAGTTTTAGGTATATTTTCACACTGATTTTTGCTGCATGAAGAAAATAAGTAAAAGTGGGCTACCTCTGAAAATCCTAGAAGAGTAACTTATGTCATGGTAGTCTACAGCAGATCATCACATGCCACATTAATATGTGTGCCAAAGATACAAACTTCAATCCATTCCTACCACCATAGACAAAAATTAACTCCAAATGGGTCACAGATGTAAATGTAAAACTTCTGCAAAAAAGAAAGAAATCTTTGTAAAGTTAGGTTACACAGCTTTCTTAGGTATGGTATCAAAGGCATGATCCATAAAACAACTAAAAACCTCATCAAACTTTAAAATGTTCTTTGCTGTTAAAAGAATGAAAAAGCCACAGACTGGGAGAAACATGCATATATCTGATAAGAACTCTCAAAACTCAAGATAAGAAAACAACAACTGATATACAGTAAAAGCTGTATACAAATCCTTCACCAAAGACATACAGAAGGCAAATATGCACATGAAAAGACGTTCAACACCAGTCACTACAGAAGTTGAAGTTAAAACTACAGTGAGATACTGCTACACATTCACTAGAATGGCTAGAATTAAAAAAGATTGACTGCACCAATTGTTGTTAAGGACGTGGAGAAACTGCAACTCACAAATACTGCTGGTGGGAATGTAAAATGGTACTGCCACTAACAGATGGTTTGGCAGTTTCTCATAAAGTCAAACATCCACCTGCCATAACAGCCAGCTACTCAAATCCTCTGTATTTATTCAAGAGAAATGAAAATATATGTTCACAATATAACTTGCATATAAATATTGATAGCATTTATTTCTAATAGCCCAAAACTGCAAATAACCCAAATGTTCATCACATGGTAAAAGAATAAAGAAACTGAAGTATTTATTTCCATAGAACAAAATACTACCTAACAATAAAAAAAGGAATGAACTACTGATACACACTACAACATACATGCCATGTTCTTCCAAGGCAAGACCCAAAAGGAAAACCACTCTAAAAGGAAAAAATGGGCCAGTGTGGCAAATAGTTAGGGACTGAAAGTCGAGACTCTTGGCATAACTGTGTCTATAAGACCCACCACTGAGAAAAATTCATCTGGGAGCATTGCTCTGGTTAAATGGAAAGGAACATTAACCCGGGGAGAGAAAGTTTGGGAGCAAGAAGATCAAGTCAAGAAAGATTTTCTCTGGCTGTGAGCTAAGGGCTGAACAAGGGTGGTCACAGTGGAAATGGAAAGGAAGAGATGATATAAGGACATTTTATGATTAACAAAACTGGAAGAATTTGGGGAAAGGACACTGTTGTTGTCTCCTCCCCTGTCAAAGCTAACTGTGCGAAGCTAGTGTTGAGGGACAACGCTGCCACAGCAATCCCAGGAGCAAGGCCAAACCACAGCCTCAGGTCAGAATGTGCCCCACCACTGCTGCGGCAGAAAGGCAAAGCTCTGCATGGATGAATAAAGTCCAAAGGAACCAACACCAGACAGTGCAGGCTTCCAGCAGGAAATCCCACTAAATAACCCATCTCCTCAAGATTCAGACCCAAGCCAACTCCACCTTCAACATTAACAGTGATTTCCAACATCTAAAAATATTCATCTACACTTACATGGAAAATAATACTTTCCAAAAAATATATAATCAAAGTGCTAAAGTAGTCTAGAGAAATAAAAATTATCTGTAAAAACGTTAACACAGAAATTCCACCTGTTAGCAGGGCAAGACAGTCTTCAGTTTCTAATAGGTGATACTATTTCATGAACACATGCTCTGGCACAGAGTTAACTGTAACCTAGTGATTACAGATTTGTCTTGTGGGAGAGGCCACGAGAAACACAGTATATGAAGCTTTAATGCAGTAAGAATTAAGCTTTTGTTACACTTATTAACAAGCTAATTTAATGAACTTGAGAAATGGACTCAACCAAGTCCTAATTCTATACCCACCCTTTGCAAAATCCACCCCTTCACCTTTCTCTCCCAGCTGTATGTACAAAGCATTTTATCACCCAGCACTTACCTGCTTGGAAGGTAGGATTCGCTCCAGGATACATGTTAGGAGAATAGGCAGGAGCTGCTGCTGCATAGCCCATAGGAAAGCCAGCTAAGAAAAATACAAAACAATCTGATGTCATCAACTGAAGTAGTGACACACAGTCTTCAGCTCTCAAAAAGCTAGCACTCTTACCTTCTTCCCCAGAACTCCACAGACTGACTTAAGGAGCCCCAAGAAGCACTATGTGTGCCCACCAGTGTGTCTCTAATTGTCTTCTTCCCTCAGAATTTTGTTTGCTGTTGTTTTTAGAGATGGAGTTTCACTCTCATCACCCAGACTGGAGTGCAATGGCACATTCTCAGCTCACTGCAACCTCCGCCTCCCAGGTTCAAGCGATTCTCCTGCCTTAGCCTTCCAAGGAGCTGGAATACAGGCACACACCACCACACCTGGCTAGTTTTTGTATTTTTAGTAGAGATGGGGATTCATCATGTTAGCCAGGCTGGTCTCGAACTCCTGACCTCAGGTGATGCACCCACCTCGGCCTCCCAAAGTGCTGGGATTACAGCCATGAGCCACCATGCCTGGCTTTCCCTCAGAATTTTGACAGGTCACAATTATATTGTTTAAACCTACAAGTAAATGCTTACAACTTTCTACAACTGGAAACATTTGGTAGAAACCGAGTTAAAAGTCTACTGTCAAGAACAGTAAAATCATCATCATAATGGAAAAAAAAACCACACACACCCCGCCCCCCGAAGTTAGAGTCAAGAAATCCCTAACATTTCTGAAAGTTTCATTCTAAACTCTAATCACATCATTACTTAGAAAGCATAAGAGGGCTAGGAGTACCTCGTGCTAGGTCTTACTACCCTCATCTGACTTCACAGCACAAACTCTTGAAGAATTGGAATTGAAGTCTAGCTTGGACTCAGGGGCCTATTTTTGCTGCTAAAAAGGTCACTGATTTTCACTGAATTCAGACATTTCTTACATTACATATTTTGACTTAAAAGCTGTTATTTTTTTGTTGTAAGGAACTGTTTAAAACTTCTAAATTCATTTCAGATTTCTTCATTCTGATTTTTTTTCTAAGACAGTGTCCTGCTCAGTCACCCAGGCTGGAGTGCAATGGTGAGATCTCAGCTCACTGCAACCTCCGCCTCCTGGGTTCAAGCAATTCTCCTGAGTCAGCCTCCCGAATAGCTGGGACTACAGACGTGTACCACCATGCCCATATAATTTTTCTATTTTTAGTAGAGCTGGGGTTTTGCCATATTGGCCAGGCTAGTCTCAACCTCCTGATGTCAGGTGATCCGCCCATCTCAGCCTCCCAAAGTGCTGAGATTACAGGCATGAGCCACCACGTCCTGCCACATTCTGATATTCTGATCCCCAACTTCTCCAGTGTTGCCAGCTAATATGTTTTTGTGTGTCCCCTCCAAAGCCGATGTTGAAATTTAATTGTCATTTTAACAGCACTGAGAGGTGGGACCTTTAATAGGTGATACCTCTATCATGAGAGAAGGTTCATGATAAAAAGGACAAGTTCTCTTTCCTTTCTCTGACACTCACTTGCCCTTTGCCTTCCATCACAGGATGATAGAGCCCAAAAGCCCTCACTAGATACCATCACCATATTCTTAGACTTCCCCAACCTCCAAAACCAAGAGCTCAATAAATTTCTGTTCATTATCCAGTCTCATAGTCTGCTAAAGCAGCAGAAAACAAATTAAGACTCCAGTCATAAATCCAGGCTGTGAGTGTCTTACTTAAGCTTCAGTTTTCTTAGGGAAGGAGCTTTAACTGGGACCGCATACACATGGAAACGGAAAACTCCAACTACAGTCCATATGCAAACAACCTGATTTTTATTAATACAAATGAGGAATCCTACTAAGACTAAACCACGACCACAATGAATTGTGTACTAGTAATTCATAACATGAACAAAAGAGAAACATCAAATAAGGCATTTAGTGCTGCAGTCAGAATCCTGGACCTCAGGTGTCCACCAGCAGAGGGGGCCTCAGGCATGTGCCATTTTCAATAAGGCCTTACTCCCCTTATGGCTGACCCTCCTGTTTCGCAGTACAGGAGGCATCACATAATATCTAATGCTGAGGTATTAGAAGGCATTTTTCCTATTCAGGGCACACAGCCAACAGGATGACCCAGTTTCCTAGCCTTGACTACTGCTCCCACTAGTTGTGATAAGCTGTAACTTTACTGCTCACTTCCCTCACCTGTAAATAAAGTTGAAGGAGAAGAACAGTCTTCAAAAGAAACCGTGTTAAGGGCTGGGCACAGTGGCTCACAACTATAATCCCAGCACTTTGGGAGGCCGAGATGGGCAGATCACAAGGTCAGGAGAAAGAGACCATCCTGGCCAACATGATGAAACCCCACCTCTATTAAAATACAAAAAATTAGCTGGGCATGGTGGCACGCACCTGCATTCTCAGCTACTCTGGAGGCTGAGGCAGGGGAACTGCTTGAAGTGAGAGGTGGAGGTTGCAGTGAGCCGAGATCACGCCACTGTACTCCAGCCTGGCAACAGAGCAAGACTGTGTCATAAAAAGAAAAGAAAGAAATGTGTTGAAGAGGCCTAGAGAAAGGTGTCTCTTATGGCACTTGGACTGGGATTTTTAAGGTGTTATCCCCTAGGACAAATCATGGTAGTAACAGTAACCAAAGCAAAGAACCCCTAAGGTTGAGGTGAAAACACGGCAGGGGATCTGAGTGGAATTCCAAAAGGAAAATCTTTGTAGGTGGGTTTTAAAGAAAGTTCACAATACAGCTCCTCACATGGCTCCTTGAAGCCCCTCAGCGTGGATCCCTTGCTTCGCTGCTGCCCTACATCCAATGAGTGGAGATCATGCCATTGCATTCCAGCCTGGGCAACAAGAGCAAAATTCCGTCTCCAAAAAAAAAAAAAAAAAAAAAGACGGCTCTGTTACTGCCCTCAGAGACCAGGGAACCAGTGGGAATTTTTCCCCCCAATGGTTTCATCGTTAAAAAAAAGAAAGTTTGAAACACCACTAGCCTAGATCATATCCTACAGGCCTCTGTAATAATTTCCACAAAATCCAAATTCCTCATTCTCTCCAAAACTCTACCAATAAACTCTCAAGGGAAGAGGTCTGCTCTAGACTTGTCTGCTGAAGACAGTGTTTCGGGGTCCCTGAAAAACCACTGTTATCTTTGCTTAGTCCTTCCCATCTCTACTTTCTAACAAGGAGTTAACACATCCTGTAATGAAACAGAAAACACAACAGTATTTAAGATGGCATCACCAATCACCAGCAACAGGATGTTGCTACATACCTGGTCTCTGGTATGGGGTCAAAGACACCCACCCTCTTAGAGAGCCTCTGCTGCTTCCGTGCTCCCATCCCTCAGCCCATCGGCCACATCCTACTTGCTCTGTCACCACCTTGACCCAAGCTGCAGTGTGGCTCCCCTCACTATCTCCAACAATTTCTACTTGGACTACAGAAACCCACAGGGGCAGCTTTGGAAGGACCCCTGCCAACAGTGCTTTAGCTGGTCTCCGGTGCACCAGCCTCTTTTTTCTTATTCTCTCTAGACAATAAACTTGAAGGGTTCCAAGCAACAGAATTAAGAATCACTGTTTCTTCCTATTCCTGATAGTTCTGGGTACCCCACACAGAGACTGTCTCCTTCAGCATCTACTCTAGCCCTCTTCTGGAATGGTAGGCTGGAAAGGCCAGACTCCCTACACATCAAGGGACTGGAGCCACCCCAAACCCGAATCATTTCTACAAGACTGATTACCTTATGAAAGTAAAAGCTTCAGAACAGCAAAAAATACCACAGTTAAACAAAAAGACAAATTCAGATAAAATATCTGTAAATCAGTTAGACAAAGGGCTAGTATAATTAAAATGTAAGTAACTTTTAAAACTAGAAAGACAAACAACCCTGTCCCTCAAATCAATAGACAGAACTGCAAACTACAACTACACTGACTCCCTTCGGACTAGCAGAAATCTAAAGCTGGACAACACATTCTGTTAGCCAGGCTGTGGGGAAATCGCCTCACATCCAGATGAGAACTCAGCAGTATCCTAACAATCACATGTGCATTTGCTCTCTGACCCAGCAACCCCAGCTCTAGGAATCTACCGTGAGAATTCCTACAAACAGAGTCTACACAAACAGGGCTGTTCACAGCATCATTACCGAAATAGCACTCACTTCAAACAACCCCAACACCCATCACAAGGAAACTGGCTGAATCAACTATGCAAGCCCACAAGATGGAGGATATGTAGCACTATCACATTAAAAAAAAAAGAACAAGGCAAGCCTCTGTGAACTGGTATGGAGTGATTCATAGCAAACATTAAGCAACAAAGCGAAGTGAGCAACACCACCTGCATCTCTTTTCCAGAAAGAACCTACTGTTCAGCTAGGAGAAGTATGTGGGCCAACAGTTTCAGCAGCAGCACCAGGCCACTGGTGCCTCATGTGGGCCTTCAACTGCTAACACCCTTGCTCCAGAGCACCCGGTGGGCTGGCCGTGGGTTTGGCAAATGTGCCTCACAGTCTGAGGCTCTCCCCAATTGTTTCCTCCCTGCTGGACTTTTTCTAAGTGGCTGCCCCCAAAAATGTTTGCATTCCTAACTCTACCCCAGTGTCCACTACCATTTGTGGTACAGGGAGAATTCAGGATATATAGCCTTGTTGACCCGGAGGGTACTCGTCAATTCTCAGCATGGGCAAGAGGCCAAGTCTAGGTTCTCCCTGGACAGAAGGCCATGGCTGGAGGACAGAAAAACATGGGTTTTGGTGATCTTGAAGGGCTGCAATGACAAAACTGGACCTTAGAGGAGCTTCAAAACCAGCTAAAATCCGCTTTAAGACATATATCAAATTCTAAAGCTACCCCAGCAGACAGCAAAAAACAAAAATCTCTGAAATGCAGAGTTTTCCTTACTCCCTGGTGTGAAGAGACAAAGATCAGGGTAGCGATCCACAAGAGGGATGGACTCTGCAGAGCATGCCAGGCTGATGAAAATCCTCACTCCAAGATAAGGGCAAAACAAAGGGAGACCAAGCCTTGCCAAAACTGAAACGCATCTAACCTCAGCTCCGAAGTAAATTAAGAAGGCCATTCAGCATGCTACCTTACCAGCAAAGAAGACATCAGTAAGACTATCCTAATTTGTTTTTTTTTTTTTTTTTTGAGATGGAGTTTTGCTCTTGTTACCCAGGCTGGAGTACAATGGCACGATCTCGGCTCACCGCAACCTCCGCCTCCTGGGTTCAGGCAATTCTCCTGCCTCAGCCTCCTGAGTAGCTGGGATTACAGGCACGTGCCACCATGCCCAGTTAATTTTTTGTATTTTTAGTAGAGACGGGGTTTCGCTATGTTGACCAGGATGGTCTCGATCTGTTGACCTTGTGATCCACCCGCCTCGGCCTCCCAAAGTGCTGGGATTACAGGCTTGAGCCACCATGCCCAGCCGACTACCCTAATTTCTAATACACTTTGTGGGACAGTCAATGAAAAACACCAGGCATGCCAAGACAGGACCACATGTCAGAAAAACGAAAGAACATTTGGACAATAAAAACTGATGCACAGGTGATCTAGAGACTGCAGTCAGCAGTTTTTAAAATAACTCAGTAGTATGTTG